CCTGATCCAAGGCATAGCTGGGTTCTATTGACTGCTCTCTCTAGAAGTAAAGCTGTCACACGACTGGAACCAGAGACCATCCCCATGGAGCTGAGGACAATGTGTCACATCCCTGGGATGAGGGAAATGCTAAGAAAATTTCAAGGTATGCTGGAAAACTCTGTTCTATTGCCTGACTTTGGTTGTTAGAGCAGCGTGTTGCAGCATTGGTAAAGCTGTAGATCTCAGAGTTGAGTGGCTAAAATCAGGAAAGCTTTATTTTGATTTCATGTTATTTATTTACTAAAAGACACATTATCTCAGTCCGGTAAGATTGGGTCCACTTCCATAGTGTTGTTGGTAGTGGAAAAGGGCAAGGATAGGATAAATCATGCACTGCCTATTAAAGGGATTAGAACTGAAGCAGTGCACATCATTCCCTGAATATGTCATTGGACAGAGTGAGACACATGGCAATGCCAAATTATAAGGAGGGATGGGGCAGTTAGTGTAACATCATATGCCCAGAAGTATGACCATTGGGATATTTATGAACAGTCCAAAGAATTATCAGAGTCACTGACATCCATATAAGGTACATTGAGTTAGAACAATGGAATTGAAAGTATGTTTCACCTCTTATTTTCTGTGATATTAGGAACATTGTTGTTGTTGTTGTTATATGCGGTCAAGTCAGACCTGACTCATAGTGACCCCTCCTTGGGTTTCCAAGGTGGTATCACTATGGAAGTAGATTGCCCAACCTTCCTTCCAAGTTAGGAACATTAGTTTCATTAAATCCCCTTTGCTTGTTTATAAAAATTATACTAGAATATTTTAGAGTATTAAATGAACAATATATATCTCAAAACACATGCAAAAATCATCAATATTCTTTATGTGTCTAATCATAAAATTTCTTAACATTGCAAAATATCAATGAACAAGAGTTTTGATGTATTCTATTGGCTGTTAGTTTGATAAATTGTTAGAATTAGCCGAGCAGAGTCCTTAGCCAATGCATTCTATGTAGGTATCACTGTAGTGTCATAAATTAGGTGATTCAATTTGATTATATTGTCCTTTAAAATAGTATAAAGTTAATCTAGTTTTTATTTTATTTTTTAATCTAATTTATGCTGCATAGCTCTGGTAGCATAGCACCTAAAGCACTTGACTGCTAACCAGAAGACTGGTGGTTCAAACCCAGCAGCCACTCCTCAGAAGGAAGGATGGGCAATCTACTTCTGTAGTGATACTGCCTCAGAAACCCAAGGAGGGGTCGCTATGAGTCGGTTCCGACTCAATGGCACAAAACAACAACAACATGCTGCACAGAGGACATAGTCTCTTGCTAAACGATGGCCACACTATTTACAGAGAAACAATTTTATTCCATTAAAAAAAAATCCATCTTAGCAGTATTATTAATGGTCCAATCCTGTTCTGACAGATAAATATACACAAATTCTATAATTTAGTATAGGTCCCTAACAAATTCTTACACTCAATTTGTTCATATTTAAATTGGTTTTTATTCAATGAATAAATTAGTTAATAAACTATTTTTTTTTAAATTTTATGCTTGCTACTCTTCTAAACAATAGAATATGTAATTCAACAAAAAAATCTCAGAAACTTATAGCTTCATGTTACAGATTTAATTAAATTAAAAATAAACAAACAGTGTATGAAACAATAATACAAAATATTAGGGGAAATGTGTAAGGTAATGGGGACCAGAAGTTTGGGAAGGGGATATCTCATTTTAAATTGAGTAATAAAGGATGACTACACTCAGAAGTAGTAACTTAGCCAATATGGGGTCTGGAGGAGAGCATTACACACAGTTGAAACAAGTTCCAAGGTCTCAGGTAGAATTATGTTAGGTGTGTTCCAGGCTCAATGGGGAGCCCCGGGTGACTTGAACAGAGTGAATGTAGGGAGAGTTGAAGAGGTCCAGGAAGGGCCAGATGATGCAGGACCCTGTGGGCAGGCCATTGTAAACATAGTGCTTTAACTCTGAGTGAAATAAGATATCATCAAATGGAGGAATAACATTATGGTACTAAAGTTTTAAAGGGATTATATTGTATGTTGTGTTGAGAATGAATTATAGATTTGCAAAGATTAGGTAGAGAATAATAGCAGGTTTTTTTTTTGTTTGTTTGGTAATTCATTGAAAGATGATTGTAGTGTGGACCAGAATGGTAGAACTGGAGGTGACAAAATATAGATTACCAGTACAATTTGAAGTTAGAACTCATAGGATTTGCTATTAGTTTAGGTACAAGGACTAAGATAAAGAGAAAAGTAGCAAATAAGTCCAAGGTTTTGTATCTCAAGAACTGACATAGTGAAGTTGCTATTAACACGGATGAGTAAAGCTGCTGGTAAGGCAGAAGAAGGGGTGTTTGGTTTTGCAATAGTTGATGTGATAATGGATGGTAAGTATCCAAATGCTGATGGCAAGTAGGCAGACAGATTTATGGATATGGAGGTTCAGGGGAAATTTTTATGCATTTGAAGTCAGCATATAAATGAGATTGAATTAAAACCATGTGCTAACACACGAACACATAGGGAGTGAGCTGAACAAGAGAGAAGCCCAACTTCTGGACCACAGAATTCTCAAATGTTAGTGATAGAGAAGAAGGAAAACAGCAAAGGAGATCATGATAAAGAAGCAACTAAAATGAGAGAGATGGCATTATGGCCAGTGTCCCTAGAAAAGAGAAGGAAGTTTTTCTCAAACAAAGGAATTCTCAACAGTGTAAAGTGTTAGAGAGAAGTCATTTAAGATGAACCTCGATAACTGAACATTGTGGCAATCTTTGAAACAGGAACAATTTTTGTTTCAGGGCATGGTTTTATTACTATGAGTTTGAGAGAAAAGAGACCCAAACCAAAACCAAACCCAATGCCATCAAGTCGATTCCTCCTCATAGCCACACCCATTTGGTTTCAGAGGTGGTAAATCTTTACAGAAGTAGATTGGCCAGTCTTCCTTCCATGGAATGGTTGGTGGGTTTGAGCCTTCAACCTTCTGGATAGCAGTTAAATGAGTTAGGCACTATGCCACCAGTGCTCCTTAAAGAAGAGACAAACAGTATCAAAAAACATTTCAGGAATTTTGTAAGGGAAGTAGAGGAATGAAGTGTAAAGGCTGCATGTTAAGAGTTCTTGCACAATTCCATGGAGATTTAGACTTCAATAAGGAGCCCTAGTGGCATAGTCCCTGAGACATTTGACTACTAACTTGAAGGTTAGTAGTTCAAACCCACCAGCCACTCCATGGAAGGAAGACTGGGCAATCTACTTCAGTAAAGATTTACTGCCTCAGAAACCCAAAAGGGGTCACTATGAATCAGAATCAACTCAATGACAGTGAGCTTGTTTTTCTGGTTTATACTTCAATACCAAAATATTTCTACTTCTGGAGTTTGGAAAAGTCACATAAGCTCTGAATCTGAGTTTTCTCATCTATAAAGTGGGGGTACTAATGATCTCCTTGAAGAGAGTTACAATGATAAATATTGATTATATATATTAAAAAAAATAGTGAATTCAGCCACTAAAGTTTGGGCTCCAATAAAAGATAATTGGTAATGGTTTAGGACATGTTAAAATAATTTCAGTAGTAGTAATGCTTATTATTATGATATTAAAAAAATGTATGATTGAAATTTATTTAAGAAGCAAACAACACTGAATAGTTTGTGTCTTCTCTTATTCAATGAAGAGATTACATATATCTCCACATCCATATATATATATATATATATTTATTCATTATATATACAAGTGAAATACCACATGAATCTTGCAGGGACTTCATAGTGTCTATATTATTTTTTTAACTTATGCGTAACAATTCATCCCAAATTTAGCTGCTTAAAACAACACCTACTTGTTAGTTTATGGTTCTGTAGGTTAGAAATCCAGGCAGCATTTACTGTATTCTCTGTTTAGGGTATCAGGAGGCCAATATTCACATGCAACTTCATTCAGATTATTGGCAGGAGGCAGATCCTTGCAGTTGTAGCACTGAGATCCCCATTTCCTTGCTGATTGTCAGTTGGAAGACACTCTCAACTTCTAGTGGTCACACATTTCCATTCCCCAAAACCCTTCCTTTCTTCAAAGCCAGCAAGGACACATAGAGTCCAAATGTCTCTGACCCCTTCATCTGCCACCCAACCCATCAGAAAAAACTTTCTGATTTTAAAGAGCTCCTCTTATTAGATTTGGTCCCTTCCAATAATCTCTATTTTCTCATATAATGTAACATAGTCATTTGAGTAACACCATCGACTTCTTAGAATTCTGCCTATTGTTGTTGTTGTTATGTGCCGTCGAGTCAAACCCGACTCATAGCGACCCCTCCTTGGGTTTCTGAGGCAGTATCACTACGGAAGTAGGATTGCCCAACCTTCCTTCCGAGGAGTGGCTGGTGGGTTTGAACTGCCAGCTGTCTGGTTAGCAGGCACGTGTCTTAACCACTATGCTACCAGAGCTCCCAGAATTCTGCCTATCAAATGTTATTTAACAACTTTGAAAGTAGTAGATATTCTATTAATGTGATATTAAGGATATTTGAGAAAAACAAAATAGAATAAAACAAAGATGTCACAAAAGTATTTATAGATTTTATTCTAGGTGCAGAACATCCTCCTAATCCCAAGCATATCCAATGATTTGGATATAGATAAAAGCACTGTAAATTTCCATGCACTAAATTTCTCCCACCACCAGAATTATTAGCTGTTTATTGGAGCCTAAATGAGTACTGGGTGATAAGAAATTCAGAAATCACAGTGACATACACTGGAACATAATGAAGAATATGCCCAGGTACCTTAGATGATAACTTTATTTACTTTTAGGAGTTATTATAGAGAAAATGATGAAAAACTAGATGACTGTTGTTCTCATTGTCATAATTTCCTAAAGTTTTACCAATCTTCTCCATCCATTCATGTCTTCCACAAAATTCTTTTCACAGTTGATGTAAAATTGGATCCTGCCACAGCTCATCCTAGTCTACTCTTGACTGCTGACCTGCGCAGTGTGCAAGATGGAGAACTGTGGAGGGATGTCCCTAACAACCCTGAGCGCTTTGACACATGGCCCTGTATCCTGGGTTTGCAGAATTTTTCATCAGGGAGGCATTACTGGGAGGTTGTGGTAGGAGAAAGAGCAGAGTGGGGGTTAGGTGTCTGTCAAGACACAGCATCAAGAAAGGGTGAAACCTCACCATCGCCCGAGAATGGAGTCTGGGCCATGTGGCTGCTAAAAGGGAATGAATACATGGTCCTTGCCTCCCCATCCGTTCCTGTCCTCCAACTGGAACGGCCTCGCTGCATCGGGATTTTCTTGGACTATGAAGCCGGTGAAATCTCCTTTTACAATGTCACAAATGGGTCTTATATTTACACATTCAACCAACTGTTCTCTGGTGTTCTACGACCTTATTTTTTCATCTGTGATATGAATCCTCTGATTTTGCCACCTATCACAGAAGCAGAATCAGAGAATTGGACATCCAGGAGTCATCTTGACTCTGCTTCTAATTTTAGAGATGGTCATTCCTAAAATTATTTTCCCAAGCTACACTCCATGCCTAGCAAGGCACTTGTAGTGGAACAGAGGATATAGATATGTTAAGCCTCAACCCCAACCCAAACCAACCCTCTGCCTTTGAGTTGATTCCTACTCATAGTGACCTCCACTGGGTTTCTAAGGCTGTAAATCTTTATGGGAGTAGACTGCTTCTTCTTCCTCCTGTGGAGCAGCTGGTGGGTTTGAACCACTGACCAGCTATTTAGCAGCCAAAGGCCTTACCCAATACACCACCAAAGCTCCCTCAGTAGATACCTGCATTTATGTTGGCATTTATTGTTAATGTGGAAATTTTCCCATTGAGATAAAAGAGAAAGTGTGAAATATTTGCATTTGGAGGGGCATTGAGGATAATAATAATTTTAGAAATGGAGCAATTTCATCAAACTCTATTTTCAGATAGCTCCACAGTCTTTATGAGTATTTCTTCAAATTAATGGAACTTGTATTAATAAAAATGTCTACACATCTGTTGCAATTTTCTTTTAGTATCATTTTGCTCCATGTCTTCCATATATTTAAGATTAGAAGTGGAAGTTTTTAAATTGGTTCAGAGTAGTCCAACATGTATCTTGGTTGAGTTTTTGGTTATTGTTACAGCTTCAGATTCATAATAATTCTGTTTCTTCATATTTGCCTCTGATTCATTCTAATTCTCTCTCTCCCTTTCTTTCTTCTTCTATTCTATTCTTTACTTTTTTCTTTTG